ACACATCTGAATATTTGGGTTGAACTGTTCTGGAACAGTGTTGTAAATACAACTTAACCACTGATTTCTAGTCATGTCCATTTTTGGAAGGCCAAACAAATTAGTTTCGCTTTCACCAAGAAGCACAGCGTCACACACGGCGGCCTAGAGTGAGCGGCGGCGGTGGCCTATAGTGAGCAGTGGCCGGGGGGCTGAGTGAGCAGAGGCGGCGGGCTTGATAACGGCGCGGCCGGCGGATTCGACGAAGGAGGCTTGTGGCAACCACATGTGACGACCCCGGGCTGGACTCCACTTTGTCCACGGTGAAAGCCGATCCGGCGATCCACAGCGCAAAGTTGTTGTATTTCCTCAGCAACCAGCACGGATCAGCTCCAGGCATGACGAAGCAGATATTGTCCTCTTTTGGGAAGGCCAAACAAAGTAGTTTCGCTTTCACAATGAAGCACACAGCGTCTTCACGACATGGCGGCGGCGGCAACAATACTACAGAGAGAATAAAAGTTATGCCTTCTTTCTCTGCGTGAACATTTGAGCGGCGTTATGCAAATCTTCCCATATAGTGACGTAGGTATGTGGGGGCGTGTTAGAACGAGCCGTTTTAGGTAGGCGTGGTTGACTCTTAACTTTTATAAAGAATATCTCTTTGGATTTGAGACTTTAGTTTTTGTAACTTTACAGATCTTGTTTATGCACCAAGAGCTTGTAACACTCCAAAGAGAAAGGAAAAATTTAAATCGCATCATATGACCCCTTTAATTTTAGGCGGCTTCTATAGCGCGATCTTAATGACAATGTCGAGTATGCATAATGTGACGTGATCCATGTAGGCCTAATGCGCGAGCACAAATCTCCACTCGCAAACAGATTTCCTTCACTCACACAAAACTGGAAGTGTGCTTTTAAATATGCATTGTTCTTTTATGAATTGCTTTTGCTCTCACACAGATATTACGTGTACGCTCAAACGTTGTCCTCGCATCACTGAAGACCAGAGGAGCTTTATTTTTTCTAATTCCGGTGAAGAGTAGGCTTTTATTAATACTTATTTTAGTTAATTAAGTGCTTAAATTGTAAATATGCATTTATTAAATTATTTTATTTAGTGCATTTGTATTTTGTTGTTTTTGTATATAGTTATACAACAAAAGTATATCAACGAGGTTCCAGAAATAATCACTGAGGGTGCTTCTGAAATTAGTGAGGGTGCTCTAGTCTTGATGCACATTTTCACATATTTTGTCCTGTCTATTGCTATGGTTATCAGCATGTCAAACACTGCTACTTCGAGAGCAAGTCCCGCATAAATCATATTAATATATTATTGTCGTACCCGTCGTCGTACTTGGTACTTCAAAGATGAATTTCCTGTAAGTTCTCTCATGCAAACAAAGCATCATCACAGCAAACATCTATATTTTACAATGCAAATCAGAGAGTCATGAAACGCAATAAAATCTAATCTGAATGAAGGGCACACTGTATGCTGTTACATCACAGTATCATCTGCTTTGACTGCATTGTAAATTTAAGTAGTAAGGTTTGTTTCTACAATTTTTTTTATCGTTGTAGTTACAATACATAGAGCAAATTGTTTTTTGCATCAAGAATAGCATTTTAATCAAATTTATTGAGGTTGAACTGTAAAGGCTCTCATCTCTGGTTGCTGTAAGTTAAAAGAGCCCCTCCTCAAGTCAGTATCATATTCTGCTCTCTACAGACTGATAAATAGGTGTCCTTATTGGACCAGAAAGTTCTGCTGAAAGCTTCATTTAGCCGCAGGCTACACTGTAATGCCATTCATCTGTCTTTGGACGGTTGACTCACCATATTTCAGTTAAAGAACTGACATTTAGCCAAGAAATAGCACTCTGAAAGGTCAGCACGACATTTGTCTGTTTATAAAGTTGCATTTACAACATCTCAGCTGAGCACCTGACCATGAAACCTAAAATCATCTCACCCAATCTGCTTAAAATAAAGAACAGCATTAGCCTGCTATTTTTACTTCGAACCATTTCTCTTGAAAATGGGCCTAGAGGTTCCACTTGTGTGGCAATATGAGGAACCACAAATGGTGTATTTGGTATATTTTCATTTTATGATTGCAGTATTGTGGACATTTATGGCCTTAGTGTATTTATATATGTGGGAATTACTAAAACAAAAATGCCTCCTGACTTTTAAAGGAGTCATATGATCCGATTTAAATTTTTCCTTTCTCTTTGGAGTGTTACAAGCTCTTCGGTCACATGTGTTTGCCGCAAGCCCGCCGGCCGCTCCTTCGTCGAATCCGCCGGCCCACCGCCTCTGCTCACTCTTGCCCTCCGGCCGTTCCTCACTCTAGCCCGCCATGTGAAACTACTTTGTTTGGTCTTCCAAAAGAGGACACGACTAGAAATCAGTGGTTAAGTTGTATTTACAACACTGTTCCAGAACAGTTCAACCCAAATATTCAGATGTGTGCAACGCATTTTATGGAGGACTGTTTCCTGTTCTGACTCACAGACTGTAAGTACGTTTTCATTCTAAGGATTTGCCACTGATGATTCAAACGCGAGTTTTGAGCGGTGTAGAGTAGGGCTTGTTGTTTGTCATTTCTCCGATCACAAATGCAGACATGGTTTTATGTTTACGCGGCGCGATGCAATGCAACGTGAAAAAAAGACAGTATAAGTCTGTAACAAAGTTCGTAGTCACGGGAAGAAGGAGGCGGGAACCGACAAACATTTTAACAAAACTTTAATAAAATAAACAAACACAAAATGAAAGTAAAGCGGCAGCCCCTCGCGGACGACTGCCGCACACAAAACACAAAATAAAATCCAGGCCTGGTCCTCTCTCGTCCAACACTGTCGTCACTCCTCCTTTTATCCTTCCGGAGCTCCTCCGTGGGACTTGAGACCGGCGAGTGGTGCTAGTGTCGCTCATTATCAATTACTCCACCGGCCTCGCTCCGTTCCCACGGCTCTCGGCCCCCCCACTCATCACAAAGTCATTATAATCCGTAATTATGTCCCCACTGGATGCAACAAATGCCTCGTTTATAATGGGTTTTAATGTTTTTGTCTCGTTTCTCCGGGCGGGATAAGGCATCACAGTATGGTAAGGGGCGTAACATTTCCGTCACACACATTGTAACCTATTGTGCGTTATGGAAGAAAGAAACACACGATGCAGGTCACCATCAACCTATGTATTAATGCTAAAGGAAGGTGCAACAAAACGATAGAAAGTACAATGTGTTTCCCCCCCCAGCATATACACACGAGTGCAGGGGCAGAGGAAACGGAATCAGAGTCTTAAAGTCGGTCTGGGGAAGTCGTGGCCTAATGTTAGAGAGTCGGACTCGTAACCCATAGGTTACGGGTTCGAGTCTCGTACCGGCAGGGATTGTAGGTGGGGGGAGTGAATGTACAGCGCTCTCTCCCACCTTCAATATCACGACTGAGGTGCCCTTGAGCAAGGCACCGAACCCCCAACTGCTCCCCGGGCACCGCAGCATAAATGGCTGCCCACTCCGGGTGTGTGTTCACGGTGTGTGTGTGTTCACTGCTGTGTGTGTGCACTTTTTTTAAATACAGAGCACTAATTCCAAGTATGGGTCACATGTCACTTCACTTTCACCTTCACTAAAGGGACAGACACCCAGACCACACCTTGCTTTTCCGACCGATGAGCTTTGTAAAAATCTACATGTTTCAGAAAGGCATAGAGGAGAAACAATAATGTACAGTATGTGGAAAATAATGTGTTTTTTTAACCTTAAACCGCATAAACACATTTCATTACACCAAATACACCAAATAATGTTATTTTTAGCAGCATCATATGACCCCTTTAAGGTAAGATGTATAATATAAATAAATAAAAATAAGAATATCTTATGTATACATTTATTTTTTTATTGATATTATTTATAATAATACATTATTAACATACAGTGGGTACGGAAAGTATTCAGACCCCCTTAAATTTTTCACTCTTTGTTATTGCATATGCACATGTGTGTGTCAATTTAAAAGCATATTAATTTTGCATCTTAATTTTATGAAACTTGTCAAGAATGTGTCCAGGTCATGCATCACACCACCATTCCTTAGATTGTTTGCATAGTCATCATTATTTTCATGATAAGCACATATTCTTTCCACAATTCCCATTACAATACTGCAAAAACAGAAAAGTATTATTTTGACAGTGTTGTTTATTCTTATTTTAATAACATTTTAATGCAAAAGTTCATGTTCCTGTTTTTATTTTGGGGTGAAATATGAGCCAGACTTGTGACATTCACCCACAAGGGCCAGCAGTATCACATGATGCACACCTGCTTTTATTAGAAAAATTGATTTGCTGAACATTCTCTTTGTCATTTGGATTTGTCCTTTACATCAGACGTTAACATTTTAGTGCATCTTGTAAAAATAGTTTTCTTTGGTTTTATATACAGCAGCTACTCATACAAACCAAT